ACACTCTCTGATCAATTCACTTCATCTCTATGCAAACACCCTCTTACACTTCCTGTCTTTTTCGTTGCATAAAAGGAAGAGAGTAAAAGCATTCTAGGAATCCACTGTTGGTACCTTACTGCCACTCCAAAGTGTACACTACTAAATAATACAAGGAAGAGCGGTCTTATCGCATGGCATCGTTGCAACATGTTGCTGCATGTGTGTGTGTGAGAGTACGAGTCGGGGGGGTGGTGGATTATTGGCTTAGTGTTTTGGCCAGGTTAAAGTGAAACAGCCCTGAAAGGCTCTTAGCAGAGATTACCCCAGGTACTAAAAATAGTCATTTCCACCCAATACACACACACACACACACACGGTAACACAAAACAGAAAGAGCTGAAAGTGTTGTGTCTAGCCGGAGAAGACCACTATCTGATCTTTGTATAGGGTGTCTCAATTACACAAAGAACAGCACGCACACACATGCAACACATACACATTGGTGGCTCCAGTGTGATGAGAGAGATGGGTATCCACTGGGGGCAGGGGATCAGCTGGGGCAGGAACACCAAACCGTGCCTCAATCAGCAGCAGCGGCCCCACTGGGAATGTAGGTTGAGTGTGTGTGTGTGTGTGTGTATGTGTGTGTGTGAATGAGAGAGAGAGAGAGAGAAGAAGAGAGCTAGACAGGCAGCCAAGCAGCCACCGCCAGACCAAAAGATGTTCCCTTCCTCTTTTACCAAACATTCCCTGAAGGGGACTATTTTTTTTCTTTTGGCCATATCCACCCCTCCTGCTCCCTATTCTTTTATTTTTTACCCCTCGCTCCCTTTCTCCTGCCAGCCTCTCTTTCCAGAAGGCCAGAATATATTTGTTTAGCCACTGCAGCTTCAACTTCCCATCAGCCGGGAACAAATGCTTTGCCTTGGGAGCGAAAAAGACAGAGGGAGGGAGGGAGGGAGAAAGAGAAGGGATGGCAGAGCCCACAGTGTTGTGGGGCGGCGGTTTGAGAGCTCTTGTTGTGGAGTGGATCTGACAGACGCTCCAAGATGACACGGGCTTGGACAGCCTAAGTCTGCATCTCTCTGCTATACGTCTGCGCCTACTTGTCTGCACTCCCTCTCATTTGTGTATCTTGAAACAGCATAGCTGCAGGTCTGAAAACGCTGTTTGCCTTCAGTTCGACAGTGATGGAGGATTTCTTCCATCAGACAGTGCAAACAATGTATCAGCACAGTAAAAACTGGAGGGAACTCGAGATGAGGAAAGTATGGTGTATTCTAATAAGACTCACTTGAGAAAATCATATTATACAGTGGAATATGATAATTCATACACCCTTTGCTGGAGCGGTGAACTGGTGCGGGTGGTGTACTCTCAAATGTCAGCATAAATTTGCAAAATAAACGCAACCGGCATTCAGCGGGGAGTAGGAACAGGGACAATAAGGGTCTCTGCCTGTGCTGTCTGTGTGTTTGTGTGTTTGTGTGTGTGGGCGTGACGATTCCTCTCAGAGGGTCTATGACTTCGTGTGCACTCCTGTCTCAGCTCACAGGAGCGCCTCTCGCCAACAAGTGTGCGAGCTAATCTATGCTTACACATGTTTGCGGGGAGAGAAAGAGCTGCCTGAGGGAAACATTTTCATCACAGCATGTTTTTATCAAAGCCTGCTCAAGATGACCCAATCAATCTAATCTGCCTTTACTTAAGAATAAGCGCCTGAGCATCTGTCCAAAAAGGCACAAACAAGCGCGACAAAACCCCATAATGCCTTTCGAAGTCTGATGCCATCACGCACAACACATCCTGTCGGAGTGATATAAAGAGTTTGCATTACTGGCAGAGCCCACATACAGAATATGTGCTCACGTGCACGCGCTTACAGCACGTCCCTATATGATATCAGAGTAATGCTTTAAGCCTGGGCATCTTATTTTACTACCTGCAAAGCCCACAACCTTTTATTTCAATCCATGGGCTTTGATTTGGCTGGCACACGTCCAGCCTTCTCCTGGTCTATATGTTTGTCTCTTCCACTGCCCATCTGTCCTTGTGTCTGTCTGTCTGTCTGTCTCGTCATCTGCTGGCCTTGTCTATCTCTGCACCTCCCTTTGTTTCATCTTTATTCATCTTCCATTCTCTATCTGCCCTTCTCCCTTTTCCCCACCTGTCCATCTATCATCAGCAGATCTCACAACAGGACAGGTACAGCAGCGACAGCGTGTCAGAAGGTCGACTCTGCGCCAATATTATTGCATAATCACGTAGACCGCCTCGCCACCTCCAACAACTGTAAATGCCTTGATCTGTATACGTGTGATGTGCCGCGCCACATCCCAGCGCGACCGCCACCGGGGTGTCCACGCCGGAATCCGAATAAGCCAAAACCAACGAGACACATTTCCATCAATCAAATGGTCGAAAGCTTGACATGAAATCTGAGCGGGGACCTGCGGTTAAAGAGACATTGGGTCACGCTTGTATGCTGTTATCTTTGGCAGTACATTGGGAACTTATTGGAGTAACCACCCCTTAACAACTGCAGCCCAAAATAGACTGTGGACTTTCACGCTCGGCCCGTTTTGAAGAGGTGTCAAACACACTGTGCCAGGAGCAATAGCTGTTATGTGTATGTGTAGGTGCGTGTGTGTGTGTGTGTTTTAGGAGGATGGAGGGGGGCAGGGGGGCAGCGGGGGGGAGTGTGGTGTATCATTCTCCACATTTCGTGTCAGGGACAGTTGGGACAGTGGCAGGGAATGGAGCAAAAGGCCAGCCAGGGGACAGCTTGTGATCTAAGACCGTATGCTGCTTATACGGAACAGAAAGCACACATACACTGATAGAAAAAACGGCCTTATCCGTGTTCATAAACACACTTCCACTGCTTATACAGGGTTTAAACAATTTCCCTTGTCCCCCTAATGAGCACATAAGATTTACTCTGATGTGACAGAAAATATATCCGGCCGCAGCTGTACTGTATAACCAAGCCAAACTCTGTTTACTGATTTGCTACTGGCTGTCATGTGAAACTTTAACCTGAATGAAAGAGGAAAAACAGTAGGTGTTTGTCTTTCCATCTGAGCTGCAAATCATTTCAACAGCTGACTGACTTTAAGTGATGAAAGTTGGTTCAAACTTCCAGAGAGTGTGTTGTTTGATGGGGACGTTTAAAAGAGGGGCCTCAGTGTGACAGCTGCACCCAGCTGTTAC